TGAGCGGCTGCGGGCGCGGTCCCTGGTCTGAAGTCAGTGCGGCGTGGAGCTCAGGACGCTTCCTCCTTCTTTTGGAGACCCTGCGGGAGGGATGGGATGGGATGGAGCGCTAGCTTCTCACGCGGATGGCAGCTTTAATACTGCTAACGCAGGAGTGCAATTTATATTGACTAGGTCGGTAGAATTTGTATTAAAACGTTACTTGCAAAAATAGGGGGATGGCCCCTTTACTATAGTTTGCTGGTCCTTCCAAATATGGAAGACCAAGGACTTAACCTTTGCAAAACCCGCCCCCCCCAAGAAGCATAAGTAGGGACCATATATGTGGACCTCACCGACAGAATACACAGGACTGCAAGGTCAGCAGTTTGAAACCACCATTCAGCTCCACCTTCTACTCCCATACAGAGTGTCAAGTCTTAGAAACTCACGGGTGCAGTTCTACCCTGTCCTATAAAGTCTCTGAGTCAGCATCCACTCGATGGCAGTGAGTCTTAGGAGGAGAGAGAAGAAGGAGAGGAGAAACTCAGTTTTATGAGACCAAACAAGCCGGACAGCTAGCTGGCTGTAGAACAGATCATCAATTATTATAGGCAAGGACAAATTGAAGCCGAAGAAAGTTAAGACCCAGGATTTTGTATATCTCAAAAGAATCTAGAGACTATCTCAAGACTTACTTTTGAACATTGAATACAGCTGACCAAGGACCAGGTGAGTTGTGAGATGGCTCGAGGAAGGCAAAAGATCATTAAAAGCCAGGGGAGAAAGAATGGACCAAATGGGTATCAGAAGAGACTCTGAAATTTGAACTTACAGTAGCTAAAGCAAATAGAAGGAAGTATGAATGTAAAGAGCTGAACAGAAACTTTCAAAAGGCATCCTCAGAAACCCAAGCATTTTAATGAAACCCAGAGTTAAAAACAAAAAAAGAGGAAGAACATTTCCAATACACACAAGCTAGAATATCTCATGTATGAACTGAAGAAAATGTCAAGCCTTGATTTGCAATATTGAAAGATTCTATGGGCAAAATCTTGAAGGAAGAACATATCAAACAAACAAAAAAAAAAAAAGAAAGAAAAAGGGAAGGAACACAGAGACATAATACCAAAAACAGTTGTTCAGCATCTAGCCATTTTAGGAGTTAGCATATGACCAAGAACCAGTGGTGCTGAAGGAAGAAGTCTAAGCTGGACTGAAGCCATTGGCAGAAAATAAAGGCTCCAGGAATTGGGAGAGACCAATTAAGACGCAATGATGGCGGTACTCACCTATGTCAAGAAATTTGGAAAACATTCTATCTGGTAAACCAAAGGGAAGAGATTCTTATTTGTGCCCATTTCCAAGAAAAGTGATACAGCAAAATATGGGAACGTATCAAGCAATATTA